CAGCTGCCTCCTGCACTCCCCAAGTGGGGATCGAATCTGCAACCCAGGTTTGTGCCTTGATTGGGAATTGAAACTGCCATCAAAGTCAGCATTTTGATCTCATTAGCCTTGTACTATCAATTTTCTGAATTTTAAGCATCTTATTTTTCAAAACAGTTTTGAAATTCCATATATATCATAGCAAAAATGTTTCCCAAATCCCCATGATTAAGCTGTTAAACTGGAAATGGTTTACCTACTCGTTTTTCCATGACTTCTATTAGTTTTAATAAGCATAAACATCAAATTATGAAACTTTCATAAGTTTATGCAAAATAATTCAGAAAAATATATAAACCATTGTTTTAAATTTATCTATGTTCACTTTCTAAGTATTCTAATTTTAGTTGTCAAGTATAGATATAAAATTAGTCACAGTTGTAGATTAATAGAATTGGATACTATTCTAAAAGCAAGTAGCTTTTAAAGGAAAAATATTAATTTGAGCCTTTCTGACTAGTGACTCAAATCACTTACATGTTAATTTCACATCCCTGGCTCTTGGCTACAAGCACAGGTCCTACAAAACTACAATTTGTTTTATGGATTAGTCATTCTATAAACTAAACTATAACTAATCCCATATCATATAAAATAGCTATTAATTTGTGCTTTCCTATTTTTTCTCAAATTTAATGAAGTGAACAAATACCACTGAACTGCTACATTCCAAAATTTCTATTTTTCTCTTTTCACCTTGATATTACATTAAAAGAAAAAGCACTTCTCATGTGGTGGTATTCTGTTATAACTAGCAACGTCCTGGGCTTTATCTGGGTTATTGAAGTATGTTTAACGAAAATTCATCAGGTTATATATACTTTTCCATATGTATATTACATACATCAACAAAAAGCTGTTTTTAATAAAAGCTGTGCTTTCTCCCTGGCCGGTTTGGCTCAGCGGGGTTGGAGCTTCAGCCCACCAACCAAGGAGTCTCGGGTTTGATTCTGGTCAAAGGCACGTACCTTGGTTGCTGTTCACTTCCCGGGCCCTGGTCAGGGTTGTGAGAGAGGCAAACTAGTCAATGTGTCTCTCTCACACTGATGTTTCTCTCTCTCTCCCTCCCTCCCACTCTATCTGAGGATCAGTGGAAAAATATCCTCCATTGAGGATTAAAAATAAAATAAATAAATCAATAATTTTTTAAAAAAATAAAATTTAAAAAGCTGTGCTTCTTAACACTACTTCAACAAAAACCATCACATATCAACCTTATTGGAAGCTGTCATTGTTAAATTCTTCATCGGATGGTACTCTACAGCACTGAGTAATACTCAATTTGTATTTTCAGCATATAGAAAAAAAGAGCCATGCAAGATATTCTATGGAACCAAAAAGTGCTTCTTAATTCTTTCACAAATCCCTGAGATTTAAAGGGAAATAAAACTTTTTTTTTTTAGCTTCTATGTGCTTATTTTATTCTCAAACATTGTCATATAAATTACGGCAAACTTGTGGCAGACTGTTTCCAAAGACAGCCACAACAATACGTATCCCATCCCAACTGTTGTTTTATGTGACAATGATGTTCCTACATTGAGAGATGAGTCTGTTTCCTCCTCTTAAAACTATGTAGTTTTATACCAGCCTTGAGCAAGAAACTGTGACAGAAGTGACATTGCATAACTCTCAAGGTTAGGGCACAGAAAACAATATTGCTTCCTTACTCTCTCCAGATGTCTGTTCTTGAAACCTGCCCCCAGATTGTGAGTAGGTGTCCTGCCCACTGCCCCAGTGACATCCCCAGCCAACAAGCAGCATCAACTCCTAGGCTGGGGTGACAGAGCCTTGTCCAGATGATTCCAGCCCCCAGCCTTCAAGTCTTCCAGCTAGGCCTCAGACAACATGGAGCAGAGCCAACTCCCACTGGGCCCTGTCTGAATCCCTGACCCAAAGAAACCATAAGATAATAAATGATTATGGTTGTTTAGCCACTGGGCTTCTGACGTAACTGGTTATGCAGTAATAGAAAACTAACCCTTTATAAGCAAGAAACAGGCAGATAACCATGCTAGCAACCGGCAAAGCCAGAATTTTCATCCAAGTCAATCTATGTAAAAGCCCAAACTCTTTCTCCCACATGATATTGCCACGTTTGTTCAGAGGTGCCCACATTTCCAAATAAAGCAACAGTCTACAGACTGAAAAGTCTAAGAGCAATAAACAGCCCCCAAAATTAATAATTTCAATTAAGCCCAGCCAGTGTGGTTCAGTTGGATTGAGCGTTGTCCAATGGACTGAGAGGTCCCGGTTCGATTCCTGGTCAGGGCACATGCCCGGGTTGAGGACTTGAAGCCCAGTAGGGGGTGTGCAGGAGGCAGCCAATCAATTTTCTCTCTCACATCTATGTTTCTATCTCTCTCTCCCTTCCTCTCTCTCTAAAAAGTCAATAAAAATATATAAAACAATAATTTCAATTAATACTCTGGACAATGGGTCACTCAATTAGCAGGCTCAAAATTCCAGTATTATTTCTCACACATCTATAGCCTTCACACTCTAATAACAGCATATCTGATAGTATCCACATTCTAGACATGCTGAAGAAGTATCTCTACATCAATAACAATAAAGATGACCATTTATAGAACACTTTACAAAGCACTTTAACAATCACTAATTTGATCTTCAGAAAACACCTCTCTGAGACAGGTAAGATGGGCATCACACAGATGAGGCTCAAAACAGTGAAAAATAACTAGCTATATACCCTGGCTGGTTTGGCTCAGCAGTTACAGCGTCAGCCCTCAGACCAAAGGGTCTGGGGTTCAATTATCGGTACTTGGGCTGCAGGTTTGATCCCCAGCCCTGGTAGGGGTTGTGCGGGAGGCAACCACTCAATGTGTCTCTCTCACATTGATGTTTCTCTCTCTTTCTCTCCCTACCTTCCACTCTATCTAAAAATAAATGGAAAAATATCCTCGGGTGAGGATTAAAAACAAATAACTATAACAATACAGTTAAGTGAGGATTCAATTTCAGATTTTCTGACTCCAGGTCCAGTGCTTTTGTCAACTCATCTCCAAAAAACATTTATGGTGAACATATTTCCACCCACAACATTGTTTCTACAAGTATTTATGAAGTATCCACTTTGTGCAAAGCATCATGGCAGGCACTGTGCTCTCCACTTCGAGGGTCAGTACAAAAACATTTCTGATATAGCTAATCTCTATAAAAAGCCAGTCTTTCCCCACTCAGACCCTTTCTCTACATTGTCAACTGACAACTTTTCCTAATCTACCTCCTTAATCACAATATTCAAAAATTGTCAAAGGTGACATCTTATCCATAAAAACACTGGACAAATTTCCTGATCTGCTTTCAAGACCTTCTATAATTTAATCCCAGTTTATTTAATAAAATTAATTTCCCTGTATTTACTGAGGAAAAGAACACAAATTAATCTCTTCCTTCTTCCCCAAATTCCCTTTCTTTACACATTCTTACCCTCCCTCTTGTTCATACTATGATCCAAATCCAAAAATGATGCTCAAGTATTCCTCCTCAAGCCCTGACAGAGTCCCTTCCCTCCAAGACCTTGACATCTACTAGAGAAATGCAATGAACAATATAAAACAATATATATTAACTGAATTGGGTAGTAGAGATTATAGTTTACAGGAATCCTAAAAAAGAATCACTGAGTGTACTCTCCCTCTCGGGACCACGCCCAGGCCTTTCCCTTCGCCGCTCTTCCCCCACAGGCCTGCATCTCCTAAACTCTAAGGGACCCCAGGAGACATGCAACCAGGGGAACAATGGGCAGCAGCAGCTAATCCTGTTCTAACCCCAAACCTGTCCCCAAGGCCCCCTTTCTCTGACCCTCCAGTGAGCTGACGGCAGCCCCACCTTAGCTCACTTCTTTCCTACAATGTTTCCGGGGAGCCAAAGCAGAGCCCCGCCTAGGCTCTCTCCTGTTGCTGTTCTCTCCTAAGCCCTTCCTTGTTCACTGTCCCAGCTTTAATAAACGTACTCTCAGTCTGGCCGATGTGGCTCAGTGGTTGAGCAGCGATCCATGTACCAAGAATTCGCTGGTTCGATTCCCGGTCAGGGCACATGCCCAGGTTGTGGGCCTGATCCCCAGTGCAGGGCATGCAGGAGGCAACCAATCGATGTTCTCTCTCATCGATGTTTCTATCTCCAACTCTTTCTCCCTCTCCCTCCTTCTCTCTCTCAAATCAATAAAGAAAAAATATTTTTTTAAAAAGTACTTTGTAGTACTAATAAAAAAATAAATATACTCTCGCCCTGGCCGGTTTTGCTCAGCGGTTAGAGCGTTGGCCTGCGGTCCCGAGAGACCCGGGTTCGGTTCCCGCTAAGGGCATGTACCTCGGTTGCAGTTTGTCCCCGGCCCTGGTTGGTCGTGCGGGTGACAGCCACTCGATGTGTCCCTTTCACATCGATGTTTCCCTCTCTCTTCCTCTCTCCCCCTCCCACTCTACCTGAACAAAAGATAGAAAAATGTCCTCAGGTGAGGATAAAATAAATAAATAAATAAATAAACTCTCAAAAAAATAAATAAATAAAATAAAATAAAAAAGAATCACTGAGGGTTGCAGAAATGCCTTCAGGTAGAAGGCAGCAGTTGAAATGAGCTGACTGACACACAGGATTCGAAGTGGCAGAAGTAAAAGCAACCTAAACTGAGGAACAACCTAAAAGACCTTCCCTTCTACCCCACTTCTTCCCATTTGCATCTCATTTAACCCTCCAGCCAGTACCATCTCCTTCCAGAAGCCTTCCTCGGTTACCTCTTCTCTGAGCTTCTAACAATCTAAGAAACTCATCCTGGCACGTAGTCATTCTACATTATAGATCTCGCCTCTTCAACTTGACGGCAATATGTCTCTACGTAGTCAGCATTCAATATTTGCTAAGATGAACTTATTTCATCAGCCACTGTAGCTTTCAGTCATTTAAAAATCCATTGATCATAACACTGTTTCTTAACTTACCGAGCATCTCCTTTGGAAAGATTAGTATTTACAGGATTAAGAATAACCTTGTTTGCATCTACATCCACCACACATTTGGTATGCAAGTCGACTTCTGTAGATTAAAAAAAAAGAAAGAAAAATAGTTATATTTAAACTACTTTATTTCAGAAAAAGCATTTGACAAAAATCCAACACTTTTTTCATGATTAAACACATTCAACAAACTAGGAATAGAAGGAAACTTTCTCAACCTGGTAAAGGGTATCTACATATAACTGCAGTTAACATCCCACTTAATGGTGAAAGACTGCACGGCTTACCTTCTAACATTAGGAATAAGACAAAGATGTCTGCTACTGCAGCTTCTACTCAGTACTATACTATAGAGGTTCTGGTCAGGGTCATTAGGCAGAAAAAACAAATAGCCCAGCCAGTGTAGCTCAGTGGATTGAGCATCATCCCATGGACTGAGAGGTCCCCGGTTCAATTCCCCATCAGGGCACATGCCCAGGTTGCAGGCTCGATCCCCAGTGGGGGGTGTGCAGGAGGCAGCTGATCAATGTTACTCTCTCATATCAATGTTCCTATCTCTCTCTCCCTTCCTTTCTTTCTAAAAACGAAAGAAAGAAAGAAAAACAAATAAAAGGCATCCAGATTGCAGAGAAGTAAAACTATCTCTATTCGCAAATATGATTTTGTATACAGAAAATTCTAAGGAATCCACTAAAATACTATTAGAATATACAAGTTTTAAAAAGTTGTAGAATACAAGATAAATATACAAGAATCAATAGTGTTTCTATACACCAGCAATTAAAAATCCAGAATTAAGCCCTGGCCGGTTTGGCTCAGCGGTTGGAGCATTGGCCTGCGGTACAGAGAGACCCGGGTTCGGTTCCCGCTAAGGGCACGTACCTCGGTTGCAGTTTGTCCCCGGCCCTGGTTGGTCGTGCGGGTGGCAGCCACTCAATGTGTCCCTTCACATCGATGTTTCTCTCTCTCTCTCTTCCTCTCTCTCCCTCCCGCTCTATCTGAACAAAAAATGGAAAATGTCCTCGGGTGAGGATAAAAAAAAAAAAAATCCAGAATTAAAGTTAAGAAAATGTCATTTATATTAGCATCAGAAAGATTTAAATACTAAAGAATAAATTTAAAAGAAGTGCAAGACATGTACACTGAAAATTCTAAAACACTGTTCAAAGAAACTAAAGATTTAAACAATTGGAAGGACATTTATGTTCATGAATGGACAGACTTAATACCATTAAGATGGTAATACTCCCCAAATTGGTCTACAAGATTCAAGGTAATCCCTATCAAAATCCCAGCTGGCAGCCCTAGCCGGTTTAGTTCAGCGGTTGGAGTGTCGACCCAAGGACCCAAGAGTCACAGGTTCAATTCCAGTCAAGGGCATGTACATCAGTTGTGGTTCAATCCCCGGCCCTGATTGGGGTTGTGAGGGAGGCAACAAGTCGATGTGTCTCTCTCACATTGATGTTTCTTTCTCTTTCTCTCTCTCTCCCTCTCTCCCCCTCTACCTGAAAAAAAAATCAATGGAAAAATATCCTCAGGTGAAGATTGGGAAAAAAAAATCCCAGCTCGCTCCTCCCACCCCCCCGCCAAAATTAACAAGCTGATCCTTAAATCTACAGGCAAATGAATGAGATCCAGAATAACCAAAACAATCTTGAAAAAGAAAAACAAAGCAGAAAGGCTATATTCACCAATTTCAAACTTACTACAAGACTACAGTAATCAAGACAGTGTGGTACTAACAATAAGGATCAAAGGATAAACAGACAAATCAATGGAACAGAGAATCTAGAAATATACTGTCACATTTAGAGCCAAATGATTTTGACAATGATGTCAAGACAATCCAACGGGGAAAGTATAGTCTCTTCTATCAATGGTGCTGGGACAACTGGATATCCATTCACATGCAAAAGAATGAAGTCAGACCCCTTCCTAATACCATATGCAAAAATTAACTCTAATAGATCATAGACATAAATGTTTAAGAGCTAAAACTATAAAACTCTTTGAAGAAAACATAAGGGTAAATCCACATGACTTGGGGTTCGGTAATGGTTCTTAGGTACCAAAAGCACAAAAACAAAAGAAAAACAGATAAACTGGACCACATCAAAATGAAAAATGTCTGTGCTTCAAAGGACATCAAAAGAGTAAAAAGACAACCCACAGAATCAAGAAACTATCTGTCAATCATATACTTAATAAGGAACTTTCATCAGAAAATAGAAAGAACTCTTACAACTCAATAATAAATAAAACATATAAATAACCCAATTATTAAATGGGGCAAAGAATCTGAATAGACATGTCTCTAAAAAAGATACAAAAATGGCCAATAAGCCCTGGCCAGTTTGGCTCAGCAGTTAGAGCGTCGGCCCGCGGACCAGAGAGTCCCGGGTTCAATTCCACTACAGGCACGTACCTCAGTTGCAGTTTGTCCCTGACCCTGGTTGGGGTCATGTGGGTGGCAACCACTCGATGTATCTCTCTCATGTCGATGTTTCTCTCTCTCTCTCTTCCTCCCTCTCTCCTACCCACTCTATCTGAAGACAGATGCAAAAATTGTCATTCGGTAAGGATTAAAAAAGGCCAATAAGCACAAGATGCTCAACACCATCAGACACTGGGGAAATGAAAATGAAAATGACAATGAAATATCACTTCACACCACTAGCATAACTATAATAAAAAAAGAGATAATAAATAACAAGGATTTGGGATAACCGGAACCTTCATACATTACTAGTGGGAATGTAAAATAGTGCAGTCACTTTGGAAAACAGCCTGGCAGTCCCCGAAAAGTTAAACATAGAGTTAGCATATGACCCAGCAATTCCCACTCCTAGATATATACCCAAGAGAAATGGCAACCTATAGCCACACAAAAGTTTGCAAATGAATGTTCATAGCAGTATTATATGACTATTCATAATAGCCAAAAGGTGGAAACAACTCAACTCTCCATCAACCAATGAATGGATAAAGGTGCTAGATACATAAAATGAAATAGTATCTGTCAATTAAATAAGTACTGATACATACTACAACATGGATGAAGCTTGTGCTAAGTGAAAGAAGCCAGTCACAAGAGACCACATATTGTATGATTCCACTTATTTCAAATTTCCAGAATAAGCAAATAGAGCACAAAATAGACTAGTTATTGCCTAGGGCTGGGGAGTGACTGCTAGTAGATATGGTTTTCTACTGGGGGTAATGAACATGTACTAAAATTGATTATGCAGACAGCTGCACAACTAGCATGATCATAATAAAAACCACTGAATGGCCCTGGCCAGTTTGGCTCAGCTGTTAGAGCGTCAGCTTAGGGGAGTGAAGAGTCACCAGTTCCATTCCCGGTCAAGTCAAGGGCACATACCTGGGTTGCAGGTTTGATCCCCAGCCCTTGTCGGGGTTGTGTAAGAGGCAACCAATGGATGTTTCTCTCTCTCATCGATGTTTCTCTCTCTCTCTCTCTCTCTCTCTCTCTCTCTCTCTCTCCGTCCCTCCCTCCCTTCCACTCTATCTAAAAAAGCAATGGAAAAATATCCTCAGCTAGCCTTGCCAGTTTGGCTCAGCGATAGAGTGTCAGCCCACGGACCAATGAGTCGCGAGTTCGATTCTGGTCAAGGGCATGTATCTCGGTTGCAGTTTGTCCCCAGCCCTGGTCGGGGTCATGCAGGAGGCAGCCAGTCGATGTGTCTCTCTCACATGGATGCTTCTCCCCCCCCCCCCCGCCTCCTTCCCACTCTATCTAAAGATAAACAGAAAAATATTCTCGGGTGAGGATTAAAAAATAAATATATATATATAGATATAGATATAGATATCCTCTGCTAAGGATAAACAACAACAAAAAAAAACAACAAAAAGAAAATAAAAGTGAATGGATGAATTGTATGATATGTAAATTATATCTCACTAAAACTCTTTTGAACATATAGGCCATGTTTATGGTCTCATATTTTTATATTCTTATATTTTTCTTACCCAAAGTATGAAACTTTCTGTTTGCCTTATCTCCACTACCCAAAGATACGATCTAAGAAAGAAACTGTACTACACTGGAATCATTTTGTATTTCCCAAATAATCTTGGCCAAATGTCACACTATCATTATAACTTTAAAGTGTTTCTAGTGCCAGGAAATGTCATTCCTTTCTCTTTTTTTTAACTTACATAACTGAGACAAGCGCCAAAAAAAAAAAAATCTTTCCTTGTGCCTGCCACAACTTAACTTTTTTGTATCAGCTATTCTGCATTAGTTCTCAGAGATATAACCTAGAAGTACAAAACATTTAGTGGTCTTTTCATTTTGGCCCATACATTTTTCAGGCAAAAAGAACTGAAAGGAAAACATCAGAGCTATGTTTTACCTAGATGTGGAAGACTAACCACCAAAAAGGTGTATGTTCCACTAGCAACTAGCATTAATGCTTTGTGTTTAAATCCACTCTAGTTTATACCAGAATGTGGCAAGAAAGTCTCAGCCACACTGCAAAAACTTTTCAAACATGCAATTTTATTTCTTCCTTATCCTTAGGCCCAGAGCTCAACAAAGTTTGCAATCATCATACTTTGTTAATACTAGCCCTTAATGGTCTCTGACCGTATTGTACTGGCTGGCCCCTTACAGTCAAATCTGTATTATAACAAATGCATTATAACTCTCCGGAAACTATACTGTGACTCAATCTACTATCTCACCACTCACCACAAAGTTGGTTATCAGTTTCTTGCAACAACATTTGGTCTGAGCAGAGGTGTTGCATGTATAGCTCTGTATATATAAGTATACATCTAGAACGAATGCCTGAAAAACTGCAAATCAAATATTCCCCTCTCCCCTGCAAAGTAGTACTATGCCTTCATTTCAAATCATCTTGAATTGAGAAGGGATCCAAACATTTTTCTTCAATATTTGCATGCTTTCCCCCTATCCCCTATACAGTTCTTTTCTGTTCCCCTTCATTACTTCACTAGATACAACTAATAATTTGCAAGGATTAAATGGCATGATAGAGGAACCAATCCCTGGAAAATCCTATATAATACTAAGAATCACCTAATAACTAA